ACATGATTCTGAATTCCAAATTCAGTTCTCCAATTAACACAACTCTGCAGCATGAAGGGAACATGGCCATCTCAAGTGGCCACCGAACTCACTGGTTGGGAACTAAGAAAGGAACTCTCCAAATTTCTGTTTGATGCTAAAGAGAAACTTCCTCTTGTATTGGAATCCACAAGTTATGTTTTTACTCATGTTGTGCAATGAAGTTGCCACTCTCCATGTTTCTTTGTTCAACACACAGTACACACTACTTTTTGTTTAGCAAACATCTTCACAAATGGATCGAGGAAAAAACTGACAAGATTGAGCTTCTCCCACTGAAAAGTATTTTGAAAATGCTAACTTGTATTCTATCTTAAGCATGCATAAGGTAAAATACAATTAAAAGATCCTAACTCTGCAAAACAGTTTTGGGAGATGTGCTATGAAATAGTTTATTTTGCATCGTTGTAAACAAGAGATCTTCTTTCTGCTTGTTGTTTTCAGGAGAGGTACTGCCGAACTACAACATTAGTGCTCTTCACTGTTAGCAATGCTAACCAAAGTTGCTAAGAACTGTCATTTAATAACAGACTATAGTTTCCTCATTCTTGAGACAAAGGGGGGGGATTAGACCTAAGTGAGATTTGTGCATTGAAAATATTATATTTCATAATAGCAATAGCACTTAGATTTATATACCGCTTCATAGTGATTTTACAGCCCTTTCTAAGCGGTTTACAAAGTTAGGATATATTGCCCCCAACAATCAGGGTCTCATTTTACCTACTTCAGAAGGATGGAAGACTGAGTCAACCTTGATAAAATATCAAGATGACTCCCTTTTTAAGAGTTTTCCAGAACTGACATTAAAAAAGGTACTGGTATTCTGATCCATTTATGAGAAATATGTCTATCAATGCCAGAGCTCTATGTTCAAGCAAAGATGTTCTTGATTAAAATGATCATTTTAACATTTAATTCATTTTGATGTTGCAACCTTCTACTTTCCCTTCTGCTCCACATTATTCAAAATAGCATCAACATGTCTGAATTATTGGTCATGGTACATATTACTGGAAGTTGGGGAGTGATCTCATTTTCAGCAGAAGGGCCTACACACCTTGTTAGTTAATACCTGTATATTATAATGACTCCCACAGAACTGTTAAAATGTATAAGAATATATATGTGTAGAAAGCATTTCATTAGAATTCCAATCTGATAGCTGAGTGTTTTAAGTCTGTCTCTTCTACTACCAAGTAGCCTGGGCAGAAACCTTAGTGTAAAACAAATTGGGGGGGAAAAATGTATAGCAAGAAAGTTTCATGTGGTATATCCTGGACCAGACAATATTAACTAACTTTTATGGAGAAGCTCATTTTGTATCCTAGCCTGCAAAATCTGCAATGAACAAGATGTATTTCACTCTTACAGTCTTGGCCTTCAATTGTGCATTGAACATAGGCCTCCTAGATGCAGAAGATCATTTGATAAAGTCAAAATGAAATGCCATTTGGGGAGGGATGGGTGGGTAATGCCACTTAAAAAACTTGTTGATTGTTCTGAAGGCAGGTTTCAGTAATTATGCTCACCATGGTGAGGACTGCACTCCTTGAAATTGCTGAGGCCAGCAGTTACTACTCTACATTTCTGCAACTATCTTCAACTTCTTCAAAAGTTCAAACTGGGGTTTTGTTTGGCTGCTGTGCTGCTGAGATGTTGAAAGATATCAACAGCCATCTATCTTGCTTTGAAGCAGAAGAAGCAAAAAGAGGAGAGCTGCGCATTGTTTGCTAAGCATGTCTTCTCTGGGCAATAAGATCAGGCATTATTAACATGATTAAAGAGCCTGCTTGTATAATATAAGATTACCTCCTTTGGGCGACCACCATTATATCCAGGGCGCAGATGACCTGTGCTAGTTAGTTAACTTGTAGGCCACCTATCATAGTCACTTACCACTAGCCCTCCCTTTTTAAATTCTTCAATTTGATGAATGTAACTGAATCACAGGTAATGCTCGACATACAAACATTCATTTAGTGACTGTTCAAACTTACAACGGCATAGAAAAAAGTGACTTATGACTTTCTTTGTTGACTTATGACCATTGCAGTATTCCCGTGGTCCAAATTTGGATGCTGAACAATTGGTATATATTTATGATGTTGCAGTGTCCCATGGTCAACCTTTTACAACCTTCTGACAAGCAAAGTCAATGGGGAAACCAGATTCACTTAAAGAACTGTGTTATTAACTTAACCGCTGCAGTGATGCACTTAACAACTGTGGCAAGAAAAGTCATAAAACGGTCAAACCTCACTTAACAACTGTCTTGCTTAGCCATAGAAATTTTGGTTACAAATGAAGTCGTACATCAAGGATTACCTGTTTTGTCATTCAGGGATGACAAGCTGTCCAGAGCTTGTCTGTATAAAATACAATAGACAGCAATACAATCCAGGTATCTGTAAATGAAATTCCCTTAAACCATTTATTTCTATGAAGACAAGTATCCTACTGAAATGCACTTAGTTCTACAGTAGACAGTGAAATGTCTACTGAAATGCACAGTTGCAGACAAATGCACTAACACAAAGTCATCTTGCCTCCATTTTCAGAGTGTCATCAAACACATAGCAGGCTAGGGAGGCTGTCCCCAACTTTCTGTGTTTGCATTGAGTGACAAGATTTATGCTGGGACTTTCATAACTACAAGCCCGCCACTTAAGCTTAATTCTCATTCCTGTGGCTGCACTCAGAATGGCAATCTCATGAAAAGGAAAGCAGGAATTACTGGAAACTTATTTAACTCCAGAAACATCTTATTTATAGCAACAAGAAGCTGCTTGCTGGCAAAAAATAAACAGCTACCCTGCACAGAGAAATGACTTTTACTGTTTATTTCCTTATTTGAAGAAAAAACCCACTAACACTGCTATAGTATGGTGACAGAGAAAAGGCTAAATCCCACCTTAGCCATGAAAGCCAGCTGGGTGACTGTGAGCCAGACTCTCTCAGACTAACCCACCTGGCAGGGTTGTTGTTCTGGGGAAAAGAGGATGGAGGGAGGTGTGATAAATAGGTTCATCACCTTGAATTATTTGTAAAAATACTAAAAGTGGGATAAATAAATTGGCAAAATGCTTCACTCAGGAATATCTTAATAAAAGGAGTCTCTTTCAAATGTTTTTAAAAAGAACAAATGAACAGTAACAAGTTGAAAAAAATATAAAAGGTTTTTCCTATGCATCTTATTTGGTGAAAAACAAAATCTAAAACCTAAAGGAGCATTTCTTGCAGCCTTCCCCAGCTGCCTAGTATTTTGTCTTGAACTGGTTCTGAACTGCCACTGACCCAGCCATCAGGCCACTAAGTTGGAAAAATGGCTCTATTTTACTTATGTCACTTTTTAGTGACAATTCTATTTTGCATCTAAGGCTTCTCACAAGTGCTCTAAGAAAATGAAGAATTTGCTCTCCACCAAAGTTGCCATTGCTAAACAACAACAACAACAAAACCCATGACAATTACTGAAAGTACTTTCCACTATAGTTCCACTTTGATGTAATAAGCATCATTTTTTCCCCCTGTAAGAATAATTTTACATGGGATCATTTGAATATCTGGCTAACTTCACCTTTACTTAACAACATCAAATAAAAGCACCTTATAACAATAGCAGGACCAGGCATTGCAGAAATATAGGTGGATGCCAAGATTGTGAACATATGAGGATCACTTTGTCTACTCCTGATCAATCAACTTTTATTCCTGCTCAAAGTTGAACCTAGTAAAAAGATGTCGTAAAGCTGAGCACAACTCATGATGACTTTTAGACATGTCCGTGTTGTTTTCTTCACAACACTATGGAAATGATTTGCTCTTGTTTTATTCTATTATTTTTTTTAACATTTTCCTGTGTAATCTACAGCCTTGGGATATCCTGTAGCCTTCCATTTAAGTATTAACCACAACAAAAGTCTCTTAGCTTTTTAAAAATTGAATCAAGATCAACCATGACAAATATATGGTTTTGGTGAACTATGATTCATCTTCACTTAGTACAGTTCTGAGAAATGACAAGGCTGATGTCAACCTAACATCAGGATATGTTCAGATAATTCAACCTGGCATAAATAAAACAATGCCCCACTATGGTTTATTTACCGTCTCCTATATGTGTTAACAGCCACTGTGTGTGTTAGGAAAACCTGGTTTATTTAAGCTCGTTTTTGAAGTCTGGAGGATCTATGTGGATATTACTAATGATGACATACCTATGTTTTTTTTAAATGATTTAATATTTATATATACTTGATTGTACTCTATGTTTTTGTAAGCCTCTCAGTTTCGGCTTTTTGATTAACATTTGTAAATAAATAATAAACAGGAGCCAAAAAGAAAATGGAATTTACCCATGTGTTTGATCATGTTTTAGGGGTTAAAAAAAAACCAAGAGGAAAACTGGGAGGAAACCATCCCGAAATGCTGGTCCCTTACTGCAGGAAGAAGTAAAGGAAAATAAACAAAAGCTAAAGCAAACTCCGTGGGAAAACCGGAAGCACCTTTATTTAAGAACTGGAGAACAGACCTTGCCCCTAGAAAACTAAAAGGGGGTGACTAACAGTGGGATGCAGCCTCTTTTGGTTGAGGTTGTTATTCTGAACGCGATTAGATCCAGAATCCCAAATAGAGATTACATTTTAGATCCCCCCGCCCAACACACCCAGGGACTCTTGATAGCGCTGTATTTTCCCTCGAAGGACGAGGTGTGTGGAAATAAGACAGAAAAAAGAGCGAATGACGGGAAAGAAGAACCAGAATGGGTTCAACCAAGATCTTAATGTAGGCTTCTTCTGGATATTCCCCCCACCCCTTTCGCCTCTCCCGAAGGCCACCCAGGCTATATTTGGCTAAGATTTCCCCCCCCCCCACCTTTTCCCTTTGTAAGAAACGAAGCGCAGGCGCCAACCCTGCCCGCTTTCACCTCCTGGTGTAACTCTTGATCTCCGCTTTACCTTCCGTCTGCGGTTCCCGGGTGTTAAACCCGCTGCAATGGCTCCAATCTAAAAGCGCCAGGACGAGCCAGGGCCACACGAGCCTCATTTTCCTGCACGTCCCGCTCGGGTCGCGTCTCTACGAAGGGAGTTAACCTCCCACGCTTCCGCAATCAGAACCGCGGCCTGGAGCCGCTTCCCCAGCCTCGACGAGCTCCACCTAGCTGGCGCCTTCCAAGAAGGGGTGGGGCAATTGCTAGACTTTTTGCCAGAGTATGCCCGCTAATTGGAACCTACTAGAGGGAAAAGGGAGGGGCGGGCGGGCGGAAGGTTGACTTGTATTTATTGGTCGGGGAATAAAAGGGCTATAAACTACCTTTTCTGTGTGGGTTCTCAGCGGTAAAGCTTTGTAAGTTGGGCCTAGGTGTTGCATGCTTTGAGTTTTCTTATTTTAACTATCTTTCAAGGGCACGCTTTTCTTTGGAGAAAAGCCTTTATCCGCACCGGGCCCCGGGGTCGTTGTTCCGTGTGTCCCCCCCCCCCCATTTCCCCCTTTTCGTCACCATATCTGGGGTTGCAAAAAATCCGCAAGGCAGCTGCGATGGCAGCAAAGGGAAATATAAAACTCCAACTCATCCGGATTTTTGCAGTTCGAATGTAGCATCCTAATTTTTGCGCCGGAGATAATAAGTAGACGGAAAACGGGACAATGGGAGGAAATTTTTTTTTAAAAGCAGCAAACCATATTTGTCTTCCTGTGACGAAAATTGCAGAGATGGATCCCTGCTGTCGCCTGGAATCAAGTTGATTTAAAGGAGATCCGGTTTTTATCACGGGGGTGAGTGGGTGAGATGGTGGTTTTTGCACAGTTTCATCATCCATTTCCCCAAATTTATAAAAAATAAGAGTAGGTCACTAAAACTCTTATTCTGCCATGCTACAGTGCTTTTCTAAGTGAATATAGGAGTCCTGCCATACTCTGAAGTGTTCCTATGCATTACTGTACTGTATTGTTCAGTTCTGCTTCCTGAGAAGGCAAGTCGCATCGAAAGGGATTTGTTTGAGGTCTGTTTTCATAAAGTACTACAGAATGTTCCTCCCAGCAGTGTGTTGTGCAATTCGCCAGAATGTGATAAGATAAATTTCTGTCTAAGTTGTGGGGTTTGAATTGCAGTGCCTGAAAGTAACGCATCTTGAAAGAAAACATTCTGTAGAAACTGCTACAGATTGTTTTATTGGTGGGGATTATGAGATTGATAAATGGACACAATTAAATGGACACAATCATAAAAGAAGGCCAGGCCGTTCTGCTAATATAGATAACTCTAGATTTACAACCATTCATTTAATGGTTGTTAGAAGTGACAAACAAAGGCATTTTAAAAAGTGGCATAAAACAGCTCTCACAGTATTCCGTGGTCATATGATCAAAATTCAGGTCCTTGACAATTGGCTTGTATTTAGGACAGTTGCGGCACAATAACTAGGGTTATTGCCATTTGCAACAACCCCCCCCCCCAGCTTCTGACAAGCAAAGTCAATGGGGGAAGCTGTATTCACTTAACAACCCCTTGATTCACTAAACAACTGCAGTGATTTGCCCAACAACTGTGGCAAAAAACCACCACCTGCCTTTGCAACAGAAATTCTTGTCCAATTGTGTTTCATATGTCAAGAATTTTCTCTATTTTGGGATGGATGTGGGAAGTAGATATGGAACAAGATTTTAGCACCAATGTAGTCTATTATCTATATTTGATACCGTTTAACAACAAAGGGGAAAAATACTAATATTTCATTCAGACTGTTCTGGAAGTTAGTTTTAATTGAAAAAAACCAGCCAGTCCTTTTGCTGCTGCTTTTCTAGATACCGCAGAGTCTTAAAAGAGATGTCCTGTATTACATGGTGCCCAATTAGCTGATGTTGTTATATTTGCCGATTCTTTTAATACCATGTATGTAAGGCTCAATTTTACATTACAATTACTGCAATAATGATGTCAAATCCTTTGTACAATATCTCCCATCTTATTAGAATACTGTATTGTCACCTGCTGGTTTTCCAATACCAAAAGTTACTTCTCTTGGGATAAAGGTACTTGAATCAACAAAGGTAAAGAAGGGATCCATGTATGATTTTCAAAAAACTAAATGTTGAGCACCTCCCCCTAAACTTGTATTCTCTTTCAGCAATTCTTATATTGGCTGGGCATTTTAAAGGTTGGAATTCATTGCTGAGCTAAAGTATCAGTGAAAGTTATTTAAAAAATTCAGTGAACAACTCTGAAATAGGTGTCTTGAACTTTAGTATTAAAAGTCCATACAAATAAAAGAGACATGTCTTGTTAACTAAATCAAACTGGATCTCCTAAGCACTTCAGGAAATAACATTCAGAAATTGTTTCAGCAAAAAAGGCTGATTTTCCTATCAATAGCTACAAAGTGTCTGGTGATAGATCCTAGATATCGATCACTTAACAAGGGATATCTAAAGTGAAGTGCTAATTTTGCAGGTGTCCAGAGTCTAAGAAGTGTTTTAACCACACTAAAATTTTATTTATTTATTATTAAGCAATTTAGTATGACTACCCATCTCACAAAAAGTGGTTTTGGGACCAGAAATACGATAAAACAACACACACAAAGTGATCAATGTAAAAATATAAGAATCAATATTAAAAGATAAATATTATAAAAACAAAATATACTCGGCTTGGGAAAGATAAATATTATAAAAAGATAAATATTATAAAAATATATACTTCACTTAAGAAATAAATATAAAAAAGATAAATATTATAAAAGCAAAATATACTCAGCTTAGAAAAAAAGAGAAAGGAATAGTCAACTCAGCAGTGGAATCATCTAAGCATTTCTCTTGATCTCAGGAAGACCCAGGCCTAATGACATAACCTAGTCTTGAAGGACTTCTGGAATTTCAAAAGAAGTGGAGGTAATCTAATTTTGGGAGGAAGAATGTTAAGATTTAAAAGAAAATCTTAACAGTATATAGTATCTTGATTCAAAGCTGACACCATGCCAACCTTATATATTAGCTACAATGATGGATTCCGTGCATATTATTTGAGAGGAAGTCTGACTAAAGTCAGTGAGGATGGGCAGGGGGCAGTAATGAGCAAAATGGCTGCTCTTATACATCCCCTAATATCCGTGTCAAACGTGATGTCATGTGACATATTGCAATGTTTTTTTGCCTTGGGGTGGGCATGGCCTGCGCGTGATACATCTGGCCAGCAGGCCAACAGTTTGACACCCCTCACACAATAGTCCCCAACCTTTCTGGCTTTGTAGATTGGTGGTAGTGGTTGGATGGATGGAGGAGAGAGGATGATTTCGTGCAAGTAGCAAGTGCGTGTGGAGTATTGGTCACGGTCCGGGTGTTGGAGACCCCTGCCCTAACAGAGACAGTCACAGTTGGGAGAGGTTAGTGGTATTGAAATTGTAGAGGAAGCCAGGTTATTAAAACCCAACTTAAAAAAAAAACTGTTATCACTTGGATATAAAAAGGGCAGAACTTCTTTCATCTGTTCACACCCATCATTTTGAAACTAGATCAGTCTGCAAGTGCCAGTGCCCACAAAGAACACACAGAAACAGTTGGCCATGCCTATTTTGATAAACACTGCCAGAATCACATTTGGTGAATTGGGTGGCACATCAATATAAGTAAATAAATACACTATATTGCCAAAAGTATTCGCTCACCTGCCTTTACTCGCCTATGAACTTACTGTAAGTGGCATTCCATTCCTAATCCATAGGGTTCAATATGACGTTGG